AAGAGAAAAACTCTAGGTTTTAAGATGCGAGCGACATAAGAATAAGATTAGAAAATTTAAACCAATTTAAAAACACTTCACTTTAAAGTTCCATAAACACTAATTTTTGTCTTGACTTACTAGATCTCTCTCATTATTACCCATACTACTTTCCTAAAAATCTATTACTAACCTAAATAGGTTTATATAGAAATGAGTCTTATAGCAAAACTACAGTTGACCTTTCTTTTCACTGTCTCATTTCAAGTTTTAAAAATGTCTTCTACTGGGGCTTCCCTGGTGGCGCAGTGGTTGAGAGTCCGCCTGCCGATGCAGGCGACACAGGTTCGGGCCCCGGTCTGGAAGATCCCACATGCCGCCGAGCGGCTGGGCCGCTGAGCCTGCGCGTCCGGAGCCTGTGCTCTGCAACGGGAGAGGCCACAACAGTGAGAGGCCCGTGTACAGCAAAAAAAAAAACCAAAACAAAACAAAAACCACTTTCCTCTTTCAAGGAAAAAATCGCATACCTTGGAAATGAGAGCCTAAGTTAAAAAAAAAAAAAAAAAAATGTCTTCTACTGCCACAACTGCCCACTGTTTTGTTTTAATGCAGGTTTCAAAAAGAGTAAACAATTCAACTACTGGGAATCTATGTATGCACTGGATTCTTTCCGTATGTTATATAATTTATTCCTCACAACCAAGAGTACAATGGAAGTATCATAACCATTTAACAAATGAGAAAGCAGGGTCAAATAGGATAAGGACTTCCTATGCCCCAGTCCTATGCCCAAGTAAGAGCTGCCTAAATTGACTCCTGGGCCCTGCATTTTTTCCTGAAATAGTACAATGCCTCCCCCTTTGACATAGGCCTTTCTAATTCCCTGGGAAACAACAGCACTAAAATAAATCTATTTTGACATTTCTGTTTTTCCTCCAATTCTGACATGCCATGTGAGTTATCTGACCCAGCAATCAACTAAAAAGAGGAAATTCCCTAATGCCACCAAAGTGCCAAAGACTTACCTAATAAACATTATTAATTAATAATTCCAGGGAACTTCCCTGGTGGTCCAGTGGCAAAGACTACACACTCCCAATGCAGGGGGCCCGGGTTCAATCCCTGGTCAGGGAACTAGATCCCATATGCTGCAACTAAAGATCCCGCATGCCGCAACTGAGACCTGGTGCAGCCAAATAAATAAATAAATATTAAAAAAAGATTCACATAACTTGTAACAGAAAGTTTTGCACAGTAAAACTTTTTTTTAAAGTTAAATAAATAATTCCATTAAAAACTTTTTGAAATGTTTAGAAACTGCTCTTTGAGAAAGGAAATTGCAGGCAAATAACCATTCAAAAGACAGACAGGTAATTATTGGTCATATAAAAATTGAATGGCACCTTGAAAATAACTTCACCTTTAGAGTCTGCATACAATTTTGTTATGGCAAGAGTCCTCCCCAGTGGCACAGAATAGCCAACACCAAGCAAGTAATTTAAGTACAATTTAGGAAGGTTCTATTTTCTGCTTTAAAAAATTTGAGACTGGGCTTCCCTGGTGGCACAGTGGTTTAGAGTCCACCTGCCGATGCAGGGGACATGGGTTTGTGCCCCGGTCCGGGAAGATCCCACATGCCACAGAGCGCCTAGGCCCGTGAGCCATGGCCGCTGAGCCTGCACGTCCGGAGCCTGTGCTCCACAACAGGAGAGGTCACAGCAGTAAGAGGCCCACGTACCGCAAAATGGGACTTCCCTGGTGGCGCGGTGGTTAAGAATCCACCTGCCAATGCAGGGGACACGGGTTTGAGACCTGGTCCGGGAAGATCCCACATGCCGTGGAGCAACTAAGCCTGTGCACCACAACTACTGAGCCTGCGCTCTAGAGCCCGCGAGCCACAACTACTGAGCCCGCGTGCCGCAACTACTGAAGCCTGTGCCCGTGCTCCGCAACGAGAAGCCACCGCAGTGAGAAGCCCGCGCACTGCAACGAAGAGTAGCCCCTGCTTGCCGCAACTAGAGAAAGCCCACGCACAGCAACGAAGACCCAAAGCAGCCAAAAATAAATAAATAAATTTATTTTTTTAAAAATTTATCCTTACCAAAGCTGCAATTTTAATGCACTTTTGCATATTACATTCTCTCCATTTGTTTCTGAAAAAGCATTTTTCTTCACAAGAGGATTAGCAAATGCTCACAGAATAGGAGAACAAAGGATAAAATCAAGCCTTGAAACAGTAGATTGAATATTCTTATTCTAAATGTCTTCTGTAGTACTCATAATGCTTTATACCAATAAAGAGAGAACTGTTTAACCTGTAGAATATGAGGTAAAACACAAAGCTAAACTCTAAAATTCAATTGCTCCACTTCTGTCCACTGCTAAAAAAAAAAAAAGACTGTACGATATTTGGACTATTTTAAAGAGATCCATAAATATGGCACACTATAGCTTCATAATTTGTCTAACGAATATTTGTTAGTATAATGTCCTAAATCTAAAATGAACTTTACCTAGATAAGTTATACTGTAAGAGTGAAACCTACATTACCTAAAATATAATCTCTTTAATATAAAAGAAGCAATGTGGCTAAATATTAAACCCAGTTAGATACGTTATTCAAACATTTTCCACTAGCTATGCAATATGAAGACAATACAATGACCTAAGAGGTGTGTCTGCACATAGAAGGGGAGGGAACATTAGAGAAAAGCTGGGACAGCAACCTAAGAGTCACATTGCAAAGTACCACAGAGTCAACTTTTATTATCTTCACCATAGAGGCACACTTTAAAAATGATCAAAATTCAGTTATTCAGCAAATATGAGGAGTAGCATCTTAGCACAAAAGAGTACCACACGAGGCTTCCCTGTTGGCGCAGTGGTTGAAAGTCCGCCTGCCGACGCAGGGGACGCGGGTTCGTGCCCAGGTCCGGGAAGATCCTACGTGCCGGGGAGCGGCTGGGCCCGTGAGCCATGGCCGCTGAGCCTGCGCGTCCGGAGCCTGTGCTCCACAACGGGAGAGGCCGCAACAGTGAGAGGCCCGCGTACCGCAAAAAAATTAAAAAAGAGTACCACAGGACATGGAGCCCAACAAATTACCCAACTTCTGCCAACAGGCATGTCTTTTTCTATAAGACAAAGATAATCACCACCTTGGACAATTATTATGAAATCAAAAGGCGATAATACATATTGGCAAAGTTGTGAGTGGGATCAAAATCACCCCAAGATTTTTTTCCCCAACTTTTTCACAAATGGCTTCCCTCTCAGGAGAGTCTGATATTTTAGAGGGGCTGTATACTTACTTCCTCATCTTAGTTTGATATCGGTACCCTCACCCCTTATTGGCCCAAGAAACTGCCCCTAAATGCCTGTACTGGATATAACAGGAAGGCCGCTGCCCCACATTATTTACAACTCTCAAAGGGACGAGGAGGCTGTAAGAGGTGTTCTTTCCCCTAAATCTGCCTTCAGGAGTTCACAGGAGGCATCTCAGAGAAATTAATTGTTTTGTTTGAGCTAAGAACTGAAATTGGCCATGGTGGGAAAGAGGTCTTAGTGTGATTGGGATAGCAATCCATGCAGAGCAGAGTGTAAGAGACAAGGTTAGACAGGTAGGTAAGGGCCAGATACCCAAACGTCCTTGTATCCTATGCACATCAGTTGACATTCCTCACATCTGGCTAGCCCTTAACCATGCTTCAGGGCCCAGCGTAAAGGTCACCTTCCTGACCATAGCCTCTCCCTCCCCTCCCACACTCCTGCACACCAGCTCCCCACACCCTCTCACAGCACCAGGCCCTCTTACAGCACCAGGCCCTTTTCCATTATGGCCCTTATCACAATTGTGGTTATATAATTATTTGTGTGATTATGTGATTAATAATCTGTGTCCCCCACTAGACTACATGATAAATTCAGCCCGCGTAAGACGCACGTCTGTTTTATTCAGCTCTCCATCCCAGGGCCCGCCAAGTACAGCATCTGCCCAAAATATACAGGTATATTTTATTAAATGAACAAACGAAAGCTGGCACTAAGAAGCCAAGGAAGAATCCTGAGCAGGGCAACGGCAATCAGAGATGACAGTTAAACCACTCTGGCAGCAAAGTGAAGATCAGATTGGAAGGGCAAGACTAGAGCTTGGACACAGGTAAGGAGACTAGTGAAAATGTCTCCAGATAAACGATTAAAGACTTAAAAATGAGGGCAGCCTGTACCTGGGCGGTGATGGCGAGGATGTAATGGAGGAGACACGTTTAGCAAGTAGAATCCAGGAACTCAATGCACAGGGGGCAAAGCAAAGAGGGCGATATAGAATGACTAGTGGAGAGTGGTAGCAGGTGGGGTCATTTACTGAGACAGGGAATTCAGGACAGGAACAAACCCTTCTCGAGCATCTACTGCATGGCAGTGTACAGTGGCAGATTTGCTTCTAGCTCTGGAATTCTATGAATGAAGAGCAATTCAATCCAACTCATTTGGATAAAATGGGTACGGTTTCCACTAACGGGCAACAAACTCAAGTTCAGATTTTTAAAGTTTCTTCACCAGGACACTTCTTGGGTACACTGACTATGTGTGAAGCATTACACTGGTCTGGGGATACAGAAATCAAAGAAGGGGTCTCTGGCTCCAAGGAGCTGACAGTCTTCTGGATTTGAGAAAGGTAACTGCACATCAACAACTGAGAAACCGAGGCCCACTGAGGCTACGATTTGACCAGTTACGTGTCCTGTAACCTACATTTCTGGAGCACTGATTTCATAATCAACATCACATTTCAGGCCAACATGTAGCTGAGGGGTTATGTGTTTAGACAGTCAGACAGACACCCCTCCCCCCAATCTTGCTGTGAGCCTGGAGACACTCCAGAACTTAAAACATCATGGTGCATGGGCAGCCAATGCCCTCCAACTCTGAAGTAACTGCTGTCGTCACATGGCAGCAGTCTGGGGAACAGGACACACCAAGGAAGGAGAGAGAGAAAGGCCTTCTTTGTCAGGAAAGAGCCTACCTGAGCAGAGGCCAAATGCTGGAGGTGCCAAAGCAGAATCTCAGGAGGCTCTGGAAGTAACAGCAGAGAAATAAATGTTCAGGAAAGATGAGCAGGAATCCTCTTTAGTCGGGTTCCTCCCCTACCACCAGCAAGAAATGGTTTCCCACAGTATCTAAGGCCTCAACCCAAAGCAGATACACGGAAAAACAAGATAAGGAAATAATCCGCAGTGTGAATAATGCAGCTCCAGATCATCCAGAACAGACAACACATTTCCAGTGCTCACTTGTGAGGCCATCAAGCCTGAGAGGTTGTACACCGGCTCTTCCCAAACTAAAACAAAATAAAACATGTCCCCCTCCATCCCCAAAGGTACTGCCCCATTCCTCCCCCCTCCTTTCCATAGTCTTAAAAAAATCAAAAACAGCTGCACCCTGTCTCTACCTCCTCAACTCCCTTTCACCCACTTGGATCTAAGTTCTTCCTCCACCACCTGACCTTGTCTTTTCACCCTCCCTGAACCCTTGGAGCCCCTTCTCCTTTTCTCTGCCTGGGAACTCTACCCATCCTTCAAGACTGGTTCAACCATCACCTTCTCTGTGAAGTATTCAAAAGTCAGACTCTTCCTTGCCCAGGGGCCTTGCCTATGTCTCACCACAGCATTTGATCCTACTGTTATTGTTTACCTTGGTGTAAATATAATTTATAATAGCTTGGGACTTCCCTGGTGGCGCGGTGGTTAAGATTCCGCCTGCCAATGCAGGGGACACGGGTTCGAGCCCTGATCCGGGAAGATCCCACATGCCGCGGAGCAACTAAGCCCGTGCACCACAACTACTGAGCCTGTGCTCTAGAGCCCACGAGCCACAACTACTGAAGCCTGCATGCCTAGAGCCCGTGCTGCGCAACAAGAGAAGCCACTGCAGTGAGAAGTCCGCGCACCGCAACAAAGAGTCTCCAATCACTGCAACGAAGACCCAACGCAGCCAAAAATAAATAAATAAGTAAATAAATAAAACAAAAAACAAAAAATACAATAGCCTGTAAAGGCAGGAACTAGTTTTTATTCACTTTTCTACTGCTATCCTCTAACCCAGGGCCCCAAAAGTAGACAAAGGCTCCATGAATAAACGATCATAGGTTAGTTTACCTTCAAAACTGCTACAAACCACTAAACTTTTCCACCTAACTTGCTCTAAGAGCTGACCAGCACATACATGCACACTGGGAAGTATCCATATTCTAAATACTTAGTTTTCTTATAAAAGCATCTTAGCTAAGAATTCTACCTCTTGGTTGTTAGGCAAACAGCTGGCATGCAGTAAAATCAAGTCTTCCAGAGTTCCTCACATCTATGTTTTTAATTCCTAAAATTCTGACCATGTGGAAAGCGTGCTTGTACCCTTTTCTTCCTGGGCTGTGTAATGAGTTCTCAGGCTCAGACAAGCTGCTACAGGGGAGAAATCAAGCCTTATTTATACCAGTGCTTAGAACCTGGGCTGCTCAATATCGCCAAAATAAAGTTTTTCTCCTATTTGGTTTCACTTTCTACATGAAACATCCATAGTAAAGTTTAGACCGAGAGTATTTCCTGCGCCCAGTAAAAATATCTGAAAGCCCTTCACTTTTAATAAGGACGTTTGAAAGCCTGCATTTTAGGATTATGGGATTACATCTGACCCATAAAGTCTCAATCTATACTTCTGTTCTAGAATAATAAAAATTACATAACTTCTGAGTCCTTGTATGTTTTATACAAATGGATCTTACTGCAATAATACAGAAAAACTTACTAAAAATAGTAAAAAAAATTAATACGGTGAGAGTAACTTTTCTGCACAAAAGAAAATAAAAACTGTGCAAGTTTAAAAAATAGAAAGGCGTCAAAGTTCCCTACATGGAAAGCCTTAAAGATGGAGTATTAAGAAAAGTTAACACAGTGCACCTGAATTTCAATTACTATACTGCTTCAATAAGTGACCTTGGGAATGTCATTTCTCTCATTTCTAGTTCTGTAAAATGGGAATGTCACCTGTTTTCCTAATAGAGACAATTAGATAGTCAAAAGAATCAACATGACTTATTTTTAAACTTGTCTAATTAGTATGCGTTAATCACCACTAGTACAGAACATTTCTCTCCAGGAATCCAATTCCAAGAGAAATATTTAAGCAGACGGTGAAGACAGATTTCCTTAAGGGAATGATTTTATAAATCTGGAGAGCCACATAACAAGATTATAAGTTAACAAATTGATTACATAAGCCTTGACAACCCCAGACGTTAAAGTACACCGATATACATTCTGATAAATTAGACTGATTTGGGACTAGCACCCCAACCCCATACAAGGAACCCAAACTGAGGCAACTGATGCTTGATAGGAATCAGGTGGAATCTGATCAGTATGCAGAACATTTGCAGTTCCATCACCTGCTAGCCATGCTTCACCTTTCACCATAAAACGTGAAACGCATTAAGTCAGCTTTACCACCTGCTCCTAAAACTGTGGAAATGTACTCAATTAAATGGGAGGGGAAAAAAGTAACTTGACAGTGTGAAAAATCCGATATCCTCAGACGTCTATAGGTTGAAGAACCCTACTGCTAAATCCCTCCTCTCCCCTCCAAATACTGGACTTGAACCGAATTCCCTATGAAGCTATTGAATTTTATCTGATGCAACTGTTGGAACAGCACAGCTCCAGGAACCCCCCCCCCCGCCCGCCCCCTAGGATAAAAGGCTGTCACTTTCCTGGATCCCAAGTCCAAGTAAAAGGCAGGAAGGTTTCTGTAAAACGGTCCAGAAAGATATCAACAGGCGATGACTATGGAAAAGAACGGAGGTTTTCCAATCTGAAAAATTCTAGCTGTCCCTTGGGAACGGCACTGCTCCTCCTTCCTTACCCCGATGCCCTTTCTCTACAGACAACAATATCCCCATTCTATTTTACGGCTGCAGTTTTAGCAAGGAACCCCCCTGCTACGCCAGATTTCCAGATTCTTTTGAAAAAGGAAAACACCTTTGGTGAAGAATACACACCGCACAAGAAAACCTGGGAGCGGAGCCCCGCGGGCGCCGCACTCGGCCCGCTCCGGGGCGGGGCGCGGGGATGCGGGCGCCTCCCGAGGTGCCGCAATCCCGCCGCGGCCGCAAGCCACCCGGGCCCCGCCGCCGCCCGCCGCCAGGCCGCGCCGCCGCCGCGCGGGGTCGGGGCCGCAGCAGCCGGGTCCCCGCGTCCTCCCGGGCGCGCGACGCGGCCGGCGCGGGGAGCGCGGAGCGCGCAACTTACTTTCCGCCTGCGGCGGGAGCCCGGCTCCGGCGCCCGGCAACGGCGGAGGCGACTAGGCGGCGGAGGCCGGCCCCACCCCCGCCCACGACCGCCGCGCCCGGCCGCGCTCCGCGCTCGCCCCTACCTTAGCCAGCAGGCGAGCGTCCGTCCGCAGCGGCCGCGGCGCCGACAACTCCCTCCCGGCCGCCGAATCCCCGCACCCAGCGCTAATCATAATACCGAACAGGCGGCCGTCCGCGGGGAGGGGGTGGGGACCGACTTGCGCCTGCGCGGGGCGCGCGTCACTGAGACGTAACACCGGGGCGGGGGCGCGGGGAGGGAGGGACGGGGCGGGGGCGCGGGC